CCATGTGTCCCCCATGTGTCCCCCATGTGTCCCCCATGTGTCCTCCATGTGTCCTCAATGTGTCCCATGTTCCGTCACTTTATCTGGTTTCTACTTTATTTGCGTGAGGACGACGAGCAGCTCACACACTCACATGTGTCTGAGCCCACGTGCACACGGATGTGTCACGGTGCGTGACGGTGGCAGATGGTGACTGTTCAGTCCTCAGTCGTCAGATCATCATCTCAATCATTAGAGACACGTCCAAACCAACTCTGTCCTCTGTCCTCCAGAAGCTCTGTGTCAGAGAAACAAACATTGAGAGATTCTACCTCTTAAAATAAAGGAGGAATAAATGAGTGAAGGTCGTCCTCACACTGACCCACAGACGGTGACGCCATCTTTCTCCTCCTCGCGTCAACATTCATCACGGCTCCAAACCAACAGGCTGGAAGAAGCCGCCACTGACTGAAACACGACACGACACTGAGTCCAGTGTGTTGAATAATTCACCTGTAGTTTACGTGTGCACCGTCAGCACATTACGTCACCTCCAGCTCAGCTGTTTCATCTGTGATGAACCTTCTCACCTCAGAGAAAGGAGCCTGAAGAAGCTGTCAGTAGTACTTCTATATACTTCTAATTGTTCTAAGTCAGTAAACGACTAATCAAACATCTTGACCTGTTGAGTGCATTCATTTCTTTTTACTCAGCTGCAGATCTAGTAACAGAAATATGAGCCCTGGATTCACTGTTTCAAATTCAGTACTGATCAATACAAACTGATCCTGGACCTGTTGCAGCTCCTGGTTCAGGAACCAGGTCCAAACTGCTCCAGCTGAAGATGAAACTGATCCTCAGACGTTTTCTGAGCGTTCCTCTTCCTCCAGGTTTGGTTTGAGGTGAACTGGGTGAATTAGAATTTGATGGATCTCCATTTATTCACGTTCTCTCTTCGGATCAGAGACTTTAGTCTCGTGTCTCCTTCATGTCTGTGAGAACTTTGTCTTCGTCTCTTTGGCAGCAGGAGATTCTCTGCTCTTGTTTCACGCGCCCACACCAGCGTCGGCTCTTATCACCGAAAACTCTCTCCACATGTCCGTGTGTCCGTTTCCAGGAGACGTCTCCTGACGAGCTGAGGAGGACATCGCAGCGTCCGATCGTCCTCAAGCTTCAGACTCAGCAGGTCTCACATGTGAATCAGTCGTGACGTTTCTACATCGATCTTGTTTTGAATCAAGACGTCTGTGTGATCTCAGGATCATCTGCTGTTTGTGTGTGATTGACAGAGACGTGCTAATAATGCTGAGTGCACGTTGCCTTTATTTCATTGACCCTGACCTCACCCTAAAAGGCTGCAATTACCCAGAATGCACTGCAGTCACTAAACCTGTGTTTAATTGCAGAGTCGAGCGCCTGATGTTTTATCTCATTAGAGTAAAATCTCCAGACTGAGCAGACAAATGATCAGAAAACACACATCAACACTCCACAGTCACACAAAGAGAGAGGTTTATACACACACACACACACACACACACACACACACACACACTGCACACACACACACACACACACACACTACACACACACACACACACACACACACACACACACACACACACACACACACACTGCACACACACTCACACTCACACACACACTCACACACTGCACAGCTCTCCTTCATTAATGTTAATTAAATTAAAAAAATGAAATTAAACTTAATTAGTCCAAATTAAAACCGAACGGATCAGAAACATCCACTTTATGTTTGGTCCATGTCCCATCTGCTAACATGGAGGAGGTGTATGAGCTGTACTGCAGCCAGACACCAGGGGGCGATGTAACATGTTTATTTACAGTTAGTGTTCTTCAGGGAAATCAAATCTGTTTTATTCTTCAAATGAATTGAAAACCTGAAACTTTATGATGTGCAGAGAATAAACAACAGGTGAAGACAGAGACGAGTGTCCCTCAGACACTTGGACAGACAGCAGGCTTCCAGTTTTCTCTGGTAAACACCATCAGGGCCAGACGTGCACAGTTGGTCCTCTTCACACCCCCCACCGATGTCCCCAGCTCACATCAACACGTCGTCCTCAGCAGCAGCAGACGTCCATGTGTCATACGATCCCACAGGGACACAGTGTCCAACTGACGAAAACTGTCACCTGGTCCGTCAGGCTTTTCTCCGTCCTGCGTCTCATGTCTGTTCATAGCAACTGTTCGTGAGACGCTGAGACACATCTAGAGATACAGAGACACACCCAGAGACACTGAGACACATCCAGAGACACTGAGATACACCCAGAGACACTGAGACACATCCAGAGACACTGAGACACACCCAGAGACACTGAGACACATCCAGAGACACTGAGACACATCCAGAGACACAGAGACACATCCAGAGACACAAAGACACATCCAGAGACACTGAGATACACCCAGAGACACTGAGACACATCCAGAGACACAAAGTCACATCCAGAGACACTGAGACACATCCAGAGACACTGAGCTCCATTTTCAAATCAGATTTTTTTATTTGTCTGCACATAAAGTTTATTCTTCTGTATTAATTAAATTTGTGTGTGTCTCTGTGTGTGTGTGTGTGTGTGTGTGTGTGTGTCTCTGTGTGTGTCTCTGTGTGTCTCCAGCCATGGAGGGGGACTGTCTCAGCTGTATGAAGTACCTGATGTTCATCTTCAACTTCTTCATCTTTGTGAGTTCAACATCTTCTTCTTCTTCTCTCTGTTTATTCTGCAGGGGGGGGGGGCTCCTGGCGGCCATCTTTATCACTTAGATGTGAAGTTCAGTTTCCTGGTTAATGTTTCTTTTCACAGTAAAAGTCCTGATGTCCATGTTGTTCACTTCCTGTCGTTTGACGCCAGAGTTTCGTGTCAGATGTATTTTGAATGAAACAGTGAAGCTGTTCCTCCTGAGTCCAGCTCCACTGTCCCTCTCACAGCTGGGCGGCTCCTTCCTGCTGGGTGTGGGCGTCTGGGTGCTCGTGGACCCGATGGGCTTCAGGGACATCGTGGCGGCCAACCCGCTGTTGTTCACGGGCGTGTACGTCATCCTGGCCATGGGCAGCGTGTTGTTCCTGCTGGGCTTCCTCGGCTGCTGCGGCGCCATCAGAGAGACCAGATGTCTCCTGCTCTTTGTCAGTCAACACGTACTTTCACTAATACACAGTACTTCATTTATGTACTCATATATATATACTCAAATATGAATTATACTAAAGTAACCAGAAATATCAAACGCACATCATCAACCAGACGTGGAAGGTTTTTCACTCTCAGTGTATTTTTAAAACTTTTAGATTTGAAAGACTTTAAACCGAGACACATAAAGTTTTAAATCGTGTTTATTTACATTTCTCTGGTCACATCAGACCCGATGAACAGCTCCAGATGTTTTTCAGATGTTCCAGCTTCAGCGGCTCGTTGCCGCTCTGCAGTGAAACTTTATATTGAGACTAAAACTGTTTCTTATTGTTTGTTCATCAAAACTAATGAAAGTCAAAGATTGAATTCTTCATCTCAGAGAAACATGAGTTCAGTTTGTGTCTCAGCTTCACTGCAGTGACAGGGTGTTAGAGCGCCACCTGGAGGAGTCCACGGATGGTGCAAGATATAAGATTCATTTTACTGTGCAGGTGTAATTTATTTTCTTTATTGTATACATTTCTGCGGTTCATGTTTTTAATTTAAAATCTGTTCATGGTCATAGAGAAGAAGTTTGTGGTTAACGCACCTCCTTCTCTCCTTCTCAGTTCTTCATGCTCATCCTCTTCATCTTCCTGGCAGAGCTGGCCGCCGCCATCTTGGCGTTTGTCTTCAGGGAACACGTGAGTCTCATGAACCTTCATGTTGCTCTGCAGGACGTTGAGATAACAGCTGCTGATCACTTTATTAGGAACAACTGCAAGAAAACAATACGTGTTGATTCAGCTCCACGATCATTGTTGAACTGTTTTATTCAAAGAGGAGTTTCACTTATTTAGCAAATCTCACTGATGACGAATACAAATCATAACTTTATTTAAACGTCTCCTGTAACACAGACATTATAAAGGTATAAAACTAAACATGGAGCAGTTTGTAACATTTCACATATAATATATGTTATATATAAATATGTGTGTGTGTGTGTGTGTGTGTGTGTGTGTGTGTGTGCAGTTAACCAGAGAGTATTTCACCAGGGAGCTGAAGCGTCACTATCAAGGCCACAACAACAGTGACGTCTTCACGTCCACGTGGAACGCCATCATGTCCACGGTGAGGCACCAACTTTTAATCAACTCAGTATATAAACAAGCCATCAGTCATCTGTTTCCTCCCATCATGCATCTGTGCAGTTCGACTGCTGTGGCGTCAGCGGCCCCGAGGACTTCGAGGAGAGTGTCTTCAGGCTCCTCAGCCCCAGTCGGATGGTTCCTGAGGCCTGTTGCCAGAGGAACAGTTTCCATGGAGACGTGAGCGTGGAGCAGTGCGTGAGCGGCAGCGCCACCTTCAGACACAACAAGGTCATTACAGGAAGCACGTTTCTCTTCCACAGGTTTTAAACCTATTGTAGAATAAAATATAGAAATCAAAGTATAGATTATTATCATATTAAAATATAATCATAGAATCTAATCATTAATAGAATAAAACTCTTTGACTGCAGCTGTTCCTCTTTTCTTTCCTCCTGAAATATATCTATATATAAGTGGATTCAATATAAAAACACAAAACAAAAGTGTGATAGAAAATAATCTCTTTAATTTATTGAATCATGAAAATGTAATATTTGATGAATATGATGAATGATTCATATTCTCTTTGTCTCTGTGGCAGTGAGTTCTCCCTGAAGTCTTTTATACTCATGTACGTTAAAAGCAGAGAATCTAGTTTATAACAGAAATGATTATTGATTGATATTTTTTTTCGTGCAGGGCTGTTACTCAGCGACGGTGGATTATTTTGAGACGTTCATCTACATCGCCGGAGCTCTGGCCATCGTGGTGCTGACTATTGAAGTACGAGCGTTTTTCATCCTTCACATTAAAATCAACGCAGTCATTCATTTCTAAAAGGGAGATTCAGGACACTTGTTTGTATGAATGATTAAAAAACAGCACAGGACACAAATCTGCACCAAACTCCTGATTTTACTTCAGAACGACTCAACATGAGATTCAAATGTTAAAACACGTCGTTCCAGATGTTTTAGCTTCTGTGACAGTTTCCTGTTTGTTTGATGAAACTGAAGCTCCAGCTCTGAAACTTAAAAAAGTTTTAAACATTTGAATCTTCAGCAGAAACCAAGTGGCTCAGAACTGAGAGACCAGCTGAAACTTATTTGGTGCTTGATCTTTTCACGGTAATAATAAAGTCAAATACTTTATCACATCAATTTATTAGATCTTGTGGAAGAAATCAAACAAAACAGATTTAGAGACATCTGCGAGACATGAGAGGGACATTAGAGACATGAGAGGGACATTAGAGACATGAGAGGGACAGAAGACAAGAGGATCCATAGAGGACAGTGAAGACACCAGAGGGAAACTGGGTTTATTACATTTAGTCAATTTTACTTGATCCTGACTTTAGAGTTTGAGCTTCAGGAAGTTTGAAGGCTCTCTGATGTGTCTCCTCTCTGTCTCCTCCTCTGTCTCCTCCTCTGTGTCTCATCCTCTGTCTCTACCTCTGTGTCCTCCTCTGTCCCCTCCTCTGTGTCTCCTCCT